ATATCTTTTTTCCTTCTAAAAATGAAATATTCTTGTTAATGGAGTTTATGCTTCTTGGAGTTTTAAGACTCAAAACTCCTTAAAGAGGGAATACAAAGTCTACAGTTCAGCAGAAGTAGTAAGCAATGTCAGAAATGGAGAGGCAATGGAAATCCAAGTGTCAAGGGCTTCTTAAACCACACATATAATGCATTTGGTGGATGCCTGGAGTTCTCATCCTGACTTTCCTATCTGGAAAGCAGAACAGAGTTATTCCACAGTTGCACTTTCTGCTGCCATATTGAAATCTCGTTAGTGCTTAGCACTCCCCTGTGTGGCTGGAGAGCCTGTGGGCACAACAGGACTTTGTGCACACACTGTGCCTCTAGTTGTTAAAAATCAGTGGACATGGGCATGGAAATAGCCCGTTTTGGCCAGATAAGGATGTGTCTCTGGAATTCAGAACTCTTGAGTATTTTGTAATTGCATGTGTCAACAAAATCCCAGGAATATCTGCGTAATTGATTTTTTTTGCCTCGTGCATAGCAGCACAGGCCTTTCCCCTCTGACAAGGCAACCCTCCATCAGCTCCAAATCAAAAGGAAAGGTGAAACATGTCCGTGAAAATCAAGGTGATAACTAACATCTGAAGTGCAGGCTAAGCTGGGCCACATGGACTGTGTTAAAGCTGTTCCTGGGCAACAGCAGTTCTGCTCTTCCTTCTGATATCCATAAGGAACAGATAAGAGAAAGGATGTCTTAAAGGGTAACTGGGAATTTTGAGCTAACAAAACTGGGGATTCAGTCTGGGAAGTTTCACAGCATACACATGCCATCAGACATGACTTCATTTCCAGTGAAAGGTTCAGCTTTCTCATCTGTAACAAAGAATGCTGCAGTTCCAACAGGAAGGGATTTGTTCCCTGGTAACAGCATGCACTGGAGTGATAGATGTAATTTTTTTTTCCTTAATAGATACCCCGAGGGCATTAGAAGCCTCAGTAGTTTGTGGTTTTCAGCTCTTGAATAGGGAAGAGAAGGAAACTAGCCTAATACAGGTCAGATGACAAGCACCAATTCTTTAATATATCCAAGGATGAGATTTGGTTAATCTTCCCAGAGGCAAAAAAAAGTGAAGTTGTTGGTTGGGTGGGGTTTTAAAGATTTGTCTAGTGTTGAAGACTTTAGCGTATTAATAAACTGTTAATTGATAGTGTGCTAACATAACTGTTGGAGAACTGCTACTTTTCACAAAAGTACAAAGCAGAATATGGATATTCCTTCTGGGTGCTGGTATTTTATTTCCCTTTCTCTCTGTTAAATGGAACCTCCTGTTAGAGCTCCAATTGCAAAAGGAAGCATGGGTACAATAAAGATTTTATGGTGACAGTAGAGATTCTGTACAGGAAAGATGTTTTTTAAAAGTAAATCTCCATGCCAATATGCAAGTTTCATTTATTTCAGTCATGTCACAGATTTGGCTTGTATTAGGATCACTGGTGATCCATTTGAGATATTTTGAGGCTAGAGGAAAATGTGATTGTCATTGAGGGAGCACTTAGATACTGAGAGTTAAATAATAATTTGATTCCTCCCTGTCAATTTAATCATATGCTTCAGTGCTTTCTGGCAATACTGCTATGAAGGTATTCTTGGAATATGTTGAGTTGGAGCTGTCTATTGGGATACAAGAAGAGTAGTCTCATGGAAGGTTGCTAGGTAATGGAACAAGCAGAGGTTCACTAAGATGCTAAGGGTTAAACCCAAGAAATCTTCAAATAGGAGATAGGCAAACTAATCCAGACTATGAAATTAACTCCTGTCAAATGTTTGTGTCTGCAGGTTGAAAATTCCACCCTGAATTCTCAAAGCACATCCCTGATGAATCAGAATGCCCAGCTGTTGATCCAGCAGTCTGCTCTGGAGAACGAGAACGAGTGTGTGCTGAAGGAGCGTGAGGACCTGAAGTCGTTGTACGAGGCTCTCCTCAAGGACCACGAGAAACTGGAGCACCTGCACGAGCGCCAGGCTGCAGAGTATGAGTCCCTGATTGCTAAACATGGAACCCTGAAATCTGCCCACAAAAATCTGGAGGTGGAGCATAAGGACTTGGAGGATAGGTAAATACTGACTGCATGGAGAAAATGAGAGTCTGTGATTCCAAGGAAAATCTAATGACTATGAGTTAAATCAGCATTACTTAAAACGTGAAGATTTAAAACTTTGAAAGGTCAATGTTCCATAAAACTTCCTTATTTTTTTGTCATTTCACAAAAAGAAACTTCAGTATTTTATCTTTGTTTGCAGGTACAATCAGTTGCTCAAACAGAAAGTGCAACTGGAGGAACTGGAGAAAGTTCTCAAGATAGAACAGGAGAAGATGTTGCAGCAAAGTGAAAAACATGAAACCGTGGCAGCAGAATATAAAAAACTTCGTGATGAAAATGAAAGGTAAAATACAAGTCTGGTGTGTGTTAGTAGAGCTCTGAGCATGTGCCAGTATAGTCTAAACAAGAGTTGTGTTCTCTCACAGTGCTTAACACCTGATGTTGCAATTCAGGACATGCATGATCCCACAAAAATAATTACCATGTCCTGAGGGTGTGTGTGGGACAAAGGGATATGGCAGGGCCCAGGAGGGGCAAAGGGAGCCCAGGAATCAATATATGCGACCTCAAAGATGGCTGAAGTTTGGATCATTCCTATTTAGTTACTGTTTAGTGTTGGTAAGAAATCCTGGCTGTTCTGCACGATTCTTTTCTTTGGAAGAGTGGGATCATAAAGCTAGTTGTGATTTAGAGATCCTGCTTTATATTTGTACGTGGAGAGAACCCAGAGTGTTTGGCTTAAAGACAGAACACAATTCTAGGAAAATTAAACTGGGATGACTTACCTATATGTGATAGTGGCATTTGTGTATGTGTTTTGTGGAGTGGTGTAGAGCCTTGGAGATGTTTCAGAGGGATTGTGGATAACCTACATTTCCACCTGCATGTATTCTTTGATGGTGTCTTTTAATCCCAGGCTCGCTCATACATATAGTCAGCTCTTGAGAGAGAATGAAGTGCTTCAAACTGACCATAAGAATTTGAAAACACTGTTGAACAATTCTAAACTGGAGCAAACACGATTGGAAGCTGAGTTTTCTAAACTCAAAGAACAATACCAGCAACTGGATATTACATCAACAAAATTAAATAATCAGTGTGAGGTAGGTGGGAATTATGCTGTTTGTCATGGCTGGTGTCATTGGAATATTTATATTAGTGTGGTTGTAGATCTGTAAAATCATATGTAGTGTTTGAGAGTTAGTCATTTGGTTTGTAGATAATGAAGTGGGTCCAAAGACTAATTAATTTGCCTGTTGTACAGGCAGTACAAAAATTGGGGTTCATGATAGGTAAACTGGTTTAAGTTAGTTAGATCATTAAAGAGGCCTTTTCTGGTTAATTGTGATTTAGGTTTCTGTTTGATTTGACTCAGAATCCCTTTGTAGACCTAATTTTTCTTGCTAATCTCATTATCTGTATGTCACATACGCTCACATGTGTATGTTTCACCTATTTTAACAGCTGCTTAGTCAGCTTAAAGGAAACCTGGAGGAGGAGAACAGACATCTACTAGATCAAATTCAGACTTTAATGCTGCAGAATAGAACCTTACTCGAGCAGAATATGGAAAGCAAGGATCTCTTCCATGTGGAGCAAAGGCAGTACATGTGAGTTTGGCAGACAATCAGATCACTTAGATTAGGTCAATGACAGTAATACCTATTGGGGTTTTTTTAAAGCATTTGTTTTATATATAAATTATTACATGTGCAACTTCTGAAATGTTTCTTTTTAAAATCAGCATTGAAATTATAAATGCAAAGCAGATAAACCACGGACATTATAGTTCTAAAGGATCAGTGAAACTGTTCATTATTGCTGATGCATATGAGCAATAAAAATGTTATTTATTCTTCATTCTACTACTAGCAAAGCCGTAATCTGTAAACTTTTTTATTGAATTTGAGAGAAAATGTGCTCCTCTAAATGGTTCTGTGAGAGCACTTCCTTATTTAAAGAGAAGAATCTGTTGTGCAGTAAAGGCGAATGGAAACTCTTTCAGTTTTATACCATAAAGTTAAACCTAAGACTACTTGTTTGCTGTCTCTTGCTTTTTCAATAAGAAACAAGTGTTGTGTAAGAGTTCCTCATGAAAGGTGACAACTTTGAGATAGCAGATCCCCAGAAGAACATGCTGGCCACGCATTCTGTACGTGGTTTTGAAGCATAACTTATCACTGGTTTCTGTTTGCAGTGACAAGCTAAATGAATTAAGGCGACAGAAGGAAAAATTGGAGGAGAAGATAATGGATCAGTATAAATTTTATGAGCCATCTCCACCAAGAAGGTACTAATGAACATGATAGAAAAGTAAACACAACTCCCAAGACATGACATACCTATTCTGTACAAGCTGAAAATTGAGATTTCATTGTATTCGGGGGAGCAGAATCACGTCTGGATTTTGCTTACAAGTTAGGAAATGGCTGAAGGCATAAATGTGTTATAAATGCAATAAATATGTTGTGTTATTAATAACAGAAGAGGCAACTGGATTACTCTGAAGATGAGGAAGCTGATCAAGTCCAAGAAGGATGGTAACCGCGAGCGTTTGAAGTCTGTGACCCTCACGCCCACGCGCTCGGAATCCAGCGAAGGCTTTCTGCAGCTGCCCCACCAGGACAGCCAGGATAGCTCCTCGGTGGGCTCAAACTCCCTGGAAGATGGCCAGACCTTGGGGACCAAAAAGAGTAGTAGTGAGTACTGCAAACCATTTTTTCCTGTTGATAAACCTTGGCTGAATGTCTTTTTTGTACCATTAGAAATTAAGAGGTGCTGGAAAATATGATGAGTTAGTATTTTTTAGTCTTTCGGAGTGAAGCCTGAATTAATTTATTAAGGACAGATTTAGACTGACTTCTTGCAAACTCCCTTGAGTGTTTGGGCAGGAACTAGTTTTTAGCATTTTTGTAGCTCTAAATATAAATGTTAAAACATGTTTACAGTGCTTGGGTACGATGTAGCAGGCACTGTCACTGGGTCAGGCCGGCAAGATTTTGGATAGATGTCACATGTCACCACTACTACCTTTTTTGTTTCTCCCTCTTGTCCCAGCATGAATGTTTTCCCCTTGTCTTGGAAGTGTTTTCCAAGCTGTAGCTGTGCTAACGTCCTTGGGTTGCTAAAAACACCTTCTGTCTGAAGGTGTCCTCCAGCATCTCACAGAAACAGTGATGAAAAATGTTCTTAATATTTGAATATGCAATGGGAAGAGTTAATGTAGAGACACAGCCTGTTAAAAAGATGGGAATTGTTCCTGACCCTAAAATTAGAGTGAAGTGTCTCAGAGGGAGACTGGGGCGGGTTACAGAGGTGTGGATAGATGGAATATTCCAGACACAATTTGCTAAGCTTGGAACAGCCCAATAATCCTCACATTAGGGTGCTCATGGTATAAAAAGACAGATTCTGTTTACTATCTATCATTTTTTGTTATCCACTTATGGCATAAATCATAACCTGCCCAGTTTCTCACAAGCTGAGAACTTATCTTACAGCCAAGCTATCAGGATGTAATGATTCCATTTGATAATTACGCGCCAAAAGCATTTTGGCTGTGCATGTAAAAGCATCAGAATACATGTGCATTAACAGTCACTTCCAGTCTTTGCAGTACTAGTTTTGAATTTGCGTTTCAAAAGGCAGCAGATAATTTTCTGGGATTTGTGCCAGCTGTGAATTTGCTGTGTAAGAAATTATTAAAGTCATGATGATGTTGGGTTTTTTCCTTCTGTGCTTTTTGCAGAAGCTTAGTCAAACTCAAAAACATCAAAAATGCTATTTCAGGGAAACTTAAAATCAGATTTGTGAGTATTTTTTTAATAACTGAAGAAAATAGTATGCTCAAGACTACATTTTAGCACTTCTCTTGCTAACTTGTCACTTTGGGAAGCTCAGTGTTTCTCTGTGTAAGGTTCAAAACAGATACTTTTGAACTTTAAAAAAAAAAGCAACTGTTGCTTTTACATTCCAACTGTGAGTAGTGTGGAGTTTCAGGAGTGACTGAAGCTGTGGTGGATGTGTTTGCCAGTGTGTTGGTTGGAATCAGGAGTGTGCACGCTGTGGTTCAGACCATCTGCATCTGTGTCAGCAATGTCATGTTCTGGAAGGGCTTTTTATGTGACAGTTTTCTTTGCATGATACCTGGGACCTTGTAGTGTGCAGTTACCCTCCTGGGGGAGCCATGGCTGAAGTTACAGTGGCTGATCCTCAAAAGAGGTTTGAAGCTGTTCAGACCTCATTAATTTTCTACTCCATGGACCTTGTTCATGTTCCCCTTAATCCCAGTGTATTTATCCACAAACTGGAAGGGCTGATCTAATTCTGGATCCTAACCTTCCTCCATTACACACGTTGCCACGGAAACCTCAGTTTTTGCTAGAATTGGGATGCATTATGTGCCAATTCAGCACTGACAAGCTTGCTGAGACAGTTCTGTCTCACAAAGTAAAGAGAATATCTCAGTGTGACAAGCCCTGGTGATGGTGCACATTTTGCAGTCTATTTCTTCTGCTCCTAGAATGACTGTAAATCCTAAATACCAGGATACTGTGGGTCCTTTCTTTTCTGTAAGAAGCGGTTTGGCAGTAGCAGCTTGCACTGAAAGAAGCTACAAGAAAGAGAAAACGTGTGAGTTGCCTCCTGCCTGTGCAAACACTCAGGTATTGTAGCTCTCCACACTGGCTGAAGGCAGTTCTGGGTGAGGGAAGAGACGGGTCCTGTTCCATCCTGACCTCCAGCGGCTGGGAAAGGAGATGGTTCCAGCGGGAACTGCTGAGGTGAAGTGTCCTGCATGTCCCTCGGGAGGCAGGAGAAGGCAGCTTACCTTCCCCGGCACAAACCAGTGGTGTTCTCCCAAGCTGGTGTCCAAGACATCTAGGGTTCCTATCCCACATCCCCATTGGAGATACTGATTCCAAAATTAATTACCCTGCTGCTACCACTACTGATAAAGAGATTTGCTGTGTGAACTTTGTAGATTTTCCTCTTTTGAAGGTGTTGGTGGAGACTTTTCCTAACACAGGCTACATTCTCATGCAAATTTTTTCAAGAGACCTGTTATCTCACAGGTTCTTGGCACAAAAATCAGGTTACCCTGTTCTGCATGGAAAACAGCAGCTGAGGTCTCACAGCGTGCCCAAAGCCCCTTTCTGATCCCAGAGGTCCTCTGGGAATGAGGAGGAGCCTGGATGGCTGTTGCTGTCCACAGCACAGGTTAAACATGCAGGCAGTGTGGGGGCTGTGTGCTCCTGACTGCAGGGTTTGACCTTTGCTTCTCATACTTGTATTCACTTGCTGGAAGTACAGCCTCCTTCTTCCCAGCCACTGACCACACGTATTTATTGAGCACTTCTAATGATCAGGTGAGTATCATGGATTTGACACCTGCTCTGTACAGAGCTTTTCTTGTCAGCATGGGACACCATTCTCACCTTTTCCATAGAAAGCCTGAGGCAGGCAAGGGGGATTTTTGTTTCCTGTGGAGAAAATTCCTTTCTTCTATTTTAGCTGTTTCAAGTGATTGCCAATGTCCCAAGGAATTAGGGCTATTAGTAAGCTGTCGTCTTTAATAGTGCACCAGTAGCAGACACATGATCATAGTGGAAGTAAAAGAAATCTATTGGGCTCCATTTTCTACTGCCAGAACATTAAGAACATGTCTGGCTCAGATTTTCTTTGTGCTTGAACAAAATGATTTGAGGATTTTAATACTGTCCATACAAAATTGCCCAGAGGGTTTCTGGCAAGCAGCAGGAAGAGGGCTGCAAAGTAGGAAATTTCCTGATCAGGGGAGGAATTCTGCAGTACTCATCATTCATTCTCAGCTCAGAAGGCAGAAGTATTTCATAGAATGCTGAAATGAGAAAGAATAGGTAATTTCTGCTGTAGCTCTGCCATTCCAGATTACTTGCAGGACATTGCTTTAGTTACATTCCATGCAGACATTAGTCACACAGTTCCCCCTTCCAAGCAGGTTGCATTTTTCTAAAGGCCAAGTTTTGATGCACAATTTCCAGGACATCAGTAGTTGCAGGGATGTTTCCTGGTGGGTACAGTTGCTGAGAGCCATAAATCAGCCCTTTGGGAGGTGATCTGTGGTAATGGACAAGGAGGACAAGACTCAAGTGATTCTTCAACATCCTGATTACTTTCTAATAAGATTGGGGACTTTTAATTAAGAGAGGTCAGTTATCTTGTCTATAAAGGGTTATAGAGGGATGAGTTGTCTTTAAAGTATTTTATAAGTTGCAGAAGAACAGTGTCATCTTGATGACAAAAAGCAGAACTAGAACAGAATGACCTCAGTGGTTAGACTTGTAAACCTCTTCTTCTGGGTGCAGACACAGGATGAGCTGATGGAGAAGGAGATGCCTTTCTCTCTCAGGATAGCTCATGTGCACTTGTAAATGTGTATGTATATATGCACTGCTCTGTTGGATAGAAACTGCTGTGTGCCAAGCTGCTGGGTGAGCAGGAAACATGGCCCAAAAGTGGCTTCGGAGAGAGCAAACAAGCTGAGCATGGCCTGACAGCCCAGGCTAACACTGCTGTCACCTCTGCATTAATCAGAACTTTTGGGCTGTTCCATTGTGTGTTTCTCCCTGGATCTCTACATGCCAGTTGTTTGCATGTGGCTCCGATGTGCTTGGCAGTCAGCCCCAGACTGAGCTGGTGCTTCCAAAGGCAGATGTCTGCCAGTCAGCAGTTCCTAATGCACAGTAGCTGACTCTAAGGACAAGATTAACTCATGACTTCCCCCTCCTCCATCTTTTAATACTATTTGTAATTTTAACTCTGTTTCCTGGTAGTATCTCAGTTTTCTTTGGGCCCTCCCAAATTGTTGCAGCAACACTCACATTTGGATTTTCTTTTGCTGCTTTTTTTTCTTCTTTTGGTATTTTTTTAGCTAAAAATTTGCACACATGAAGCAGATTATTGTGGTGAAATACTAAGATCACTGCACACAGTCCATTGAACAGAAGGCAAATGTGGGTTTTCTACAAGACAGTAGATAACCAAAATTATTATTGAGCCAAAATGCAAGAGCTCAAGACTGATAATAGATTGTGTATTCCTAGAGATGCAGGGCAAAGCAGGTTATTAACCTCAAAAAATAATGATGTGAACATACTTTAAAGTAGAAGTTGTACTTAGAATTGCTTTCATTTTAAGCCTTTTTTTCTTTGCATTTTCCTTTCTATTCAAGAAATGATATTTTTCCTAGTCAGAATTAAAAAATGGTCAGTTTCTGTAAGTCACTTGCAAAGAAGTTACATAAATTTTTTTTCAAGAGCTTCAGACTGTATTACACTCTTCACCATTATTTTCAGTGCATTTCTGAGTATATGAAAGTTTTCATAGCCTAGTTTTCATAGTTCTCATATTTCAGTGTAGTTTCCATATTTCATTATCACCCAGAAGCATGAGAATGATAGCTTTTAGCATAGCATACATAGCTTAAACTCGAGACATTCATTTCTGTCCTTAGTTTCAACATTTAACTTCCATCTGTTCTTCTCCCCTTTTTTCTTTCATTTCCCTGTTTCCGTTTTTCCTCATGCTATGACATAAAAGTGGTTGCACTGAAAAGACTGCCCTTTTTGAGGAACAGACCGAAGGAAAAAGACAAAATGAAGGCCTTCTACCGTCGCTCCATGTGTAAGACTTTATGACAGTTCAGCTTCTTCTCAATGGCTACACTTGGCTTCCGTTACTAATTTTTCACTAACCTCTCCCTGGACTGCGCTGTATTTTTCCTCCTCTTTTGCAACGTGCAAGTCCTGCTGCGGTACAAGGAGCTGGAGCTTTCTTTGGACTTTTTTTTTTCCTTTTTTTTTTTTTTTTTAAAAAGCCTTGTCACTGAATACTTTATATATGTGCACATGTACACACACACGCACACATCTCCGCGCGTTCCCCGGCACGTGCACATCAATATAATCTATTCAGTGCATTGTGATTGCATATATTTGTATACATAGTTGTCTATATACACATGGCCCTATGTGTATATAAATTTACAGTGCACTCTGTTAACAGAAATAGTTTTGAATGACACGTTTCATAAGCCTTTTGTTAAGAAATCACTGTGAATTAATTTTTTTTTTGTTTAAAGCAAGAAAAAAAAGGGAATTGCACTGTATGGTGGTCTGTCACTCTGCAAGTATTCATCAGTTCTCGTTGCCAAAATGTATTGATTTCTTTTGTTTCGTTTTATTTTATAATGAGGGGTGGACAGTTATCTCGAGTTTGGGGAAGTAAAGGTGAATATCATCAGATGTGGTATTTTTCAGATCCTTTCTCTGTTACGCTGTAAACCCCAGTCTGCCTGCAGTAACCTGCACTGTACAAGGATCCCGTATCATTGGTGGCACTCGATTGTATGAGCACCTTTGCCCATTCTATCCTTGTTCATCCCATTTGCTCGTGGCAAACAGTCTAACACGCCCATGGCAGCGCACGCATGGCCATCGCCCTAATCACGCCAGTTCTGAGCACCACACTGAGCTGGGAGAAGCTTCTGCCTCACCCACTTGCCATTCACTGAGTTGATTGCATGTCATAACGCGGATGATGTGTTGTACCTGCCAGTCTGCAGTCGCTTTAATGCTTAGAAAACTGTCAAACCTTTTGCAATGCAAAATAAGAACTGGAGCAGATACATTGCCCACGCTGATCATTTGCTTTCATTTGCATCCCAGCCATGAATGACCTGGTGCAGTCCATGGTCCTGGCAGGAGGACAATGGACAGGTAGTTCTGAGCATCTGGAGGGTCCTGATGATATATCCACGGGTAAAAGGAGGAAGGAATTGGGAGCTATGGCCTTCTCTACTACAGCTATCAACTTTGCCACTATCAACTCCTCCACAGGCTTCAGATCCAAGCAGTTGCTAAATAATAAAGGTATAGGTAGAAGCTTTTTGCACTGTGATGTGACTATGTGTATATTGGTTTTACTTATATTTTAAGTTTTTCGACAAAAAGAAACCTTAATAATTGAGTTGCAGTGCTAAGATAATGGATAGGTTTAATAACTGCAGTTATAAAATGTTTCAGAGTTTTTCCTGCAGAATGTTACCGAAGTAAAAGTGAACTGTTTTGAAAAATATTTTAGTGTGTTTTATCAATAATAAGTATTTCAATAATCTTTTTGTTTTATTTTACATCTTGTGTTATGTCTCTGTGTACAGATACTACATCCTTTGAAGATGTAAGTCCACAAGGTATTAGTGATGATTCTAGTACAGGATCAAGAGTTCATGGTAAGATGTGAATTTTAATTAAGGATATATGACGTGAATGTTAACGAAGTTTGCAAAACCAAATGAATGGCATTGTTCCAATGAGCATGCGTTCTGTGATTTGCATATCTCTCGAATGTATTGTATCATTTCTTCAGATTCTCCTTCTCTTTCTGAACTGTTACATCAGACAGATGTTCTGTGTCTCTGGTAGAAAGTACCTGTGAAGTGCATCTGAACAGGACCAAAACATTTTCCCTTTTCATGGGAAAATGTTTCAACTTCCATTTGGAGTTAATAGTACTTACAAAAAATGATCATTTCAATCCTAAAAAGTCCAAATCCCAAATCTGGCCTGAGTTTTCAATGTTCATTGTTCAGTGAAACCCAAATTTGCCATGTGCTGTAGTTTATAAAATCATTACATGTTCCTTCAAGCAAAGCTGTGCAGTGAAAGCTGTAATAGGTTATTTAGAATTGAGCTTTAACTCTAGTATAAACACACGGAATTAGTACGAGCAGCAAACATTTTTGAGGCTACTAACAGTGCATTTCCCTTGTATTGGCTTAGGAGTACAGGACTTTATCTGTGCAGATGCTCTTGCTCCTCCTGTTCGTGGCATTTCAGCACTGTGCAAGGTTCCTTGTCAGATCTGTTGTAAGTGACCTAATCACGAGCAGCCCCCTGCATGCCTCTCCTTCCATCTCTAAACCCTGGTTTTCCACTAACCAGTCAGTTCCAATTCTAAACATACACTCTATTTCTCTTTTCCTCTTCTTTGTACCTTGCTATTCCTGTAGTGCCCTTTTCCAAAGTGTCCTCTTGGACCGCCTGGAAATTCCTTCGCTTTCTGATCTGTAAGAAACCACTTTGTTGCCAATGGGCATGCTCAGCCTGTGAGATAGTGCATGATCCTGCCTCTGAGCATTCTGTGATCAGAATGTAAAGGTACTGTGTCCTCTGCTAAAATGTTGTTCATCATGGTGTCTCCTAATTTTCCATTCAGCTTCCAGGCCAGCCAGCCTTGATAGTGGCAGAACATCCACTAGCAATAGCAATAACAATGCTTCACTCCATGAAGTCAAAGGTATGCTGGAGGTGAATTCACATATGTGCTTCATTTCCATTATTTTCTCTGTAAGATCATCTGTATAGGTTAAAAAAACAACCCACAACCAAAAAATTCCCACTGCACACCGCAGCATGTGCTTCCTGAAGTGCTTCAGAGCCTTCATGTCCCACAGTAGCAACACAGGGATTAATGCAATTTAGGTTTTTAATCTATTAAGGTGTTACTTTTTAAGGCACCAGTTATTTGAAACCAAACCTAACTCAGGTAACAATGGTACAAAATAAGAATTCCCCCCAAATTACTTCAAAAATTAGGAATTTAAAGCAGGCAAGGTGCTCCTTCTTTCTTCTCCTGCATGTGTGCTGCTGCTGTGAAGCTGTGTGGTGTACAACTGGACAAAATGGCATGTTGGATACATCCTAGAAACTTTTCTATTTTGATTTAAATAGATTAATAACATCCTGCAACTTAGAAGTATTCTCTAAATTTCATGTATTATGAGCCTTGATGCATTTTTGTATCTAATGGCCATTCTAGCTGCAGACTGTCGTACAGGCCAGACTAGAGCACTGCCAGCTCAAGACTTCATTTAATATTCATGGCTTGCATTTATTAAGTGGTGTCTGTTTGGAAATTTAGGATTGAATGCTAGCTGAATATTTCCAATAGTGTAGTTTATATCTATTTGATTACTCTCTTCTGTAAAGCATTCCTTGAAGTCTTCTTGCCCCAATGTCTACACAGGATTTGACATTTCCACTGTGAACAATTTATCTTTGTTCAAACTTAATTTCATTTCTTTAGAGTAACATCAAGTCAGAAATACTTGATTATCTATCAGGAGTTTTTTAAGCAGTTCACAATTACTGAAAAATTAAAAGAATTCGTGTTGTGAAATTTATTTTGCATTTAACACCATGTGCTTCCTTCAGATCCCAGTTGTAGTCAGCTAGGAGTAATAGCAGAAACCGTTGGAGAATCAGCGTTCCCAAGTAGCTCTTGGAGAAAATACTTTCTTTCCATGACATCCTTTGTATTTCTTTTAATAGTATCTTACCAGGTGCTTCACAGTGACCTAGACAAGAGTGAAGGTGTATCTTTACTGACTTGGAATACATTATTATGTAGGTGGAGGCCCAGATTGTAAATGAAAGGTAGTTTTTATTTTAAAAAATTAGGTCATGATTAAAGAAAGGTAAGTCAGGGGAATGCAATCTTATTAATCATGCAAATTCATTAATCATTTGGTTTGAGTAAAAAAGGACAACTGGATTTTTTTTTAGCATTTTAATTAGAATTCCTGCTAACCGAATCTGATAATGTTCCAGATTTGCGTTAGGTTATACATGTTTACAGCTTTTTTATATATTTCTTATGGAAATACTTAATCCCATTTACCCTAAAGCAGGTGCAGTTGGCAGTCAGAGCAGGCCACAGAGTCACAGCAGTGGAGAGTTCAGCCTGTTCCACGAGCACGAGGCCTGGTCCAGCAGCAGCAGCAGTCCCATCCAGTACCTGAAAGGCCACACCAGGTCCAGTCCTGTGCTCCAGCAGAGAACACCTGAAGCACTGGACAGCCGTGGAAAACAGATCAAAACAGGATCTCCTGGAAGTGAAGTTGTTACTCTGCAACAGTTCTTAGAAGAAAGCAACAAGAGTAACTCCAGTGAGGTCAGCTTAAAAACTGTTCTAACTAGAATGATGTCCCACAGGTGGGCATGGGAATAATGCAAGACACATTGAGTAGGATTGCTTTTACATGTCTGCAGTAAGGAGTCATGTGCCCTGTGTCATGCTGCACCACACAGAATCATTTGAAATTTCACAGCTTGACCCTTCGTGGGTCACTGGGTTGGGTAAGAAAGTCGACCTGCACTGCACAAGTGGAGTGTCCTGATGGTGGGATGCTCATTGCAGTGCAGATGGACAGCCAGAACTCTGAATAGGTTCACTTTCCCTCTTCCAGTCCAGCACTTGTCTGAAGCAAGAGCTGTTGTCACATCAGTCCTACATCAACAGGAAGACATTTGACTTCATTCCTTGCAAAGAGACTATTGTCTGCTTCAGTTTCATCTTTATAACAGTACTGGGAAACAAAAAGTGACCTTGGAGCTTACTGAAATCTGAGAGGAATAAGACTAAGAGAATGTTTCTGTAAATCAGTGACAGTTTGTTAGGAGCCCCAAATGACCTTGTCTCCACTGTTATTCCAGTTTTTTCATCCCTAGTTCTTGAGTAGTCCTGTCCAAAACCCAGAGGAGCTGTAGGATGAAGCCAGCCACTTACTGTGACCAGAGCCTCAGGAGTAAGGATCAGGTTCTGTGTGTTCTAAATGACACAAGTGAAATTGAAAAATGCATGTTCCCAGCTGAATTGATTGGGGTTGTCTGGAGCAGTAACTTGGGTCTGGAGAAGTTTCTGGAACTTCTGTTAGATACTTGAAATGACCTCTCACCTGTGGCCTCCCTGACAACGAGTTTTGGATTTTAGGCATTAGACAATACTCTTCTGGCAGTTTAAACAAAAGCAACCACCTCTGTCATCAAGCCTAGTCCTCTGCTGTTGATGAGCCACAGAATCCCTTTCATAGCCTCACAGAGCCATTACGGATGGAAGGATATTCAAGAGGTCTCTTTCCAGTCTTCTGCCAGAACATTTTCTTAATGCCTTTAGTGTAATTCTGCCCAAATTGTCTCTTTTACCATTTTGACTGCAGTCTTTCTCCACTGAGTCTGTGAATAGTATTCACTTAAACTTATTTTTCCTAGCTCTGACATCTTTTCTCCAAAAAGAAACAATTGGGAGCTGTCAGTCCACGTCTGGGCACCAAAGGTGCCTGAAGATCATGTGGTTTTTGTTACTTTCTGAGATTTTTGTCTCTATAGAGTATGTAAGCTTTTAGCTCTGCGTGATCAGTAGAAGTTAAAAGTAGTGGGTTGCATGAAATGGCTTAGCAACTATACAGGAGTTATGGCACAGAACAAGGGAGCAAGGAGATAAACTGGAGGTTTGGATCATCTGCCTTGTGGAGTCAGTCAGTATTACAGAACTAATTACAGGTAGTTATGAGCTGACTGACACCTGGGTTTCAAAGCACATGCTTGTAAGCTGTACAGAAAACTCTCAAGTATGTACCCTAGATGTTTAATACTGCTTTTAGAGATAAGAAGTTTGTAATATTGTTCTTCCTTTCTGTCCACAGAGATTGCTTGAGAGAAGGTAAAAATGACAACAGTTGTCATTGTTTATAAATAAACTTATTTTTCCTGTTTTTGACAGATGAAATCTGCAAGTGAAGAGAACCTTTTAGATGAAGTCATGAGGAGCTTGTCTGAGTCTGCAGAGCTGGCAGTGAGGGAAAAGCCCCGAAAACAGACATCTGCTGGGTGTGGCATCGTGAGGTCGATGAGTGTCAAAGCCACAGTGGATTTCTCAGATGGACGATCCCTCAAACCAGAACAGCTCGTAAGGCCCAGCCTCCGTAAAACTGAAGATACCTACTTCACTAGCTCTCCAGTCAAATTTACAGCTGGCACCCAAGGGAAGGCCAAGTCAGTGAAAGAAAAGATCCAGGCAACAATGTCCCAGCGACAATCCAGAGATTGCAATCCTTATGCCACCTTACCTCGTGCTAGCAGTGTGATTTCCACAGCAGAAGGAACTACCCGAAGGACGAGCATTCATGATTTTTTGTCTAAGGACAGTAGGTCACCTGTATCCATTGATCCAGCACCAGCCATCGCTGACAGGAGTGCTCCATCCACCTCCAGTGAGTACTCAGCACACCAGTTATCCTCTCCCTGTTTTCATTGTGTGCCTTGCAGAGTAGATTGTGTCCCACAGAGCGATGCCGCTCATGTGGCCACACCACGTAATTTAGGATTTCAGTCTGAGGTGCCCAAGCCTTCCAGGATGGAAAGGTCACATTGTCATGAGAGAACTTTGCTGAGTACGAGCATGTTTCATGATAAAGTCAGTGTCTCTGGCAGTGGCAGCACAGGATCCTTTACTGTGCCTCAGCCATTTTTATCCCTTAACACTGAACTAGTCAGTAATATAAGTGGATTGCCCCAAAGATCCACATCCAAACTAACTGATCAGGCTAATCTGTCGGCATTTAGATCAGTGCCAAAGAGCCGAGAACAGCCTTGTGCTGCGCAGAAACCTGCTCAGAGTGACCCACAGGCAGCTCTGACCAGGGCGTCTGTCCCTGCCACCTCTGTCAGCACTGGTGAGGCCCAATCCCCACTGCTGGTCTCTGAAGATAATCAAACCCTGTGGTATGAGTATGGCTGTGTATGATAAGGAGGTTGTGTTACTGAACATACGTGTAAGTGTAACACGCCGTAGAGGTGTTTTCGATGTCCACTGGATTACAGAGAAAACCTCTCTCCCATGAACAAATCCTTTCTGGTTTAGATCCATGGGTGGTGGTTCCCTGAGGAAAGCGGTGCAGGGCTCGGTTGTGTACTGTAGCATGTTTGAACGTGGAATTGTAACCGCACCAAAGTCTGCATGAAACATTAATTGCACTGTGTATATTTGCATGCCTTTATAATACAAGCTATATTTTTATTTGTCATGCATTCCAAGTATTTTGGTGTTTTCCTGTACGTTACTGCTGCATGTTAAGCCAAGCGCATGCTGCACCGCCAGGAACGGCACAGGGAACGGCATTC